CTATAATTCCAGCACTGGGGAGGCTGAGGCAGGAGGATCGTTGCGAGTTCGAGGCCAGCCTGGGCTACAAAGTGAGCGCGAGGCCGGCCTGAACTGCATAGCGAGACCCTGTCTCAAAAAGACAAATAAATAAACAAATAAACAAACCCAGGGACCTAGGCAACCCCCGCCTCTAGCCGCTGGGCTCCTGGGTTTCGGTCCAGCTTCTCCTGGCCTCTTCCTCTACCCTTGGTCTCTAATTGGGTCCGGGGTGGAGGGACAGGCTTGGGGCCCCCCTTCTCCCCGCGCACCTCAGTTTCCTCCATGTCCCCTTTGTTCCCCCAGCTGTGGTTCATAAGGCGCCAGACCGCCTGCCTGCGACTGCTGCAGCCTCTGCCACAGGTGCAGCGTCTCCAGGGTCTGCGCCCTCTGCCACCCCCTAAGGAGAGCACCCACTTCCTGTTCTGCTACGGATACCCCACCAGCCCAGCAGCTGCCCTGAAGGAGAAGCCCAAGCCCAGTCTTGAGGGCCAGGGGAGCCCTGGAGCCACACCGCTCACCCTGAGAGCCTTGAAGCCACGCCCCCCGGGTTCCTTTGGGACACTCCCAATCTCCGCCAGGACCCCCAGATTCCAGGGATTCCAGGAAGGCTTAACACCTGAGGACCAGGAGAAGCCGGGCTCCAACTCGTGACCCTCCTGCCTCAGCCTCTATCAATGCTAGGTTTACGGTTGTGTACCACCTCGCCTGGCTCCTTTTGTAGTAGTTTTTATTTTGATATGAGGTCTTGCCAAAATGCCCACACTGCTCAAATGTGCAATCCTTCTGCCTGGCTTCCCAGAGATACTGGGATCATCAGCCTACAACCACCATGACTTGCTCTTGTTTTTTTTGTTTTTTTTTGGGGGGGGTTGTCTCTTTTTTGTCTTTTTGAGACAGGATCTCGCTATGCAGTTCAGGCTTGCCTTGAGCTCACTTTGTAGCCCAACCTGGTCTCAAACTCGCAACAATCCTCCTGCCTCAGCCTCCCGAGTGCTGGGATTACAGGTATGCACCACCACGCCCAGCTTGTTTATTTTGAAACAGGGCCTCACTAAATTGCCCAGGCTGGCCTTGAATTTGAATCCTCTTGTCCTGCCTCAGCCTCCTGAGTAGCTAGGATTATGGCCACGTGCCACCTCACCCCATTTGGTTTTCCTTATTTTTGCTTCTTTTGTTGTAGACAGGGTCTCACTGGTTAGTTCAGGTTGGCCTTGAACTCAGTCTGTAGCCCAGCCTACAAACTGATCTTCCTGCCTCAGGCCTTCCCAGTGGTGGGATTATAGGCGTGGCTCCCCGCGCCCAGCTAATGCTTTCATCTTTCCCCTCGTTAAAGAAATGTTCCTCCCATGGCCATTCTGCAATCTTTACATTCGGCCTCTCACCAGAAGGCTGCCCTGTGGAATGGACTGTGCGGTGTGGGGTAGGGATTCCGTGACTTCCACCTGAAAACCCACAGTTACTCTGTCATAAATCCCGAAGCTCCCTCCACGCAGGAGTCACGGCTGTGGTCCGCTTCAGGTGCGCGGCGTCCCTCTCCTGGAAGCGGTCGCACACCGCCCCTTCCCTCTGCCCCATCCTCGGCCCGTCGCCGGCTGCTGTCCCTGGCCGCGTCTCCCCACAGCTGGTCTGACCCTGTCCTGGTCCCCATTTAGCAAATGCTCCAATCCTCTTAGGGCCGCCAGCCTCAGCAGACACAGGAGAATTAGTGGGGATTTGGAGGACACGTGACCGGCAGGCTGAGGCTGGGGGGCCCATGGCGCCCGGTGCCTGCCCCGTAAACCTCTCTCTTGTCCATGAGGCCCAGAGCACAGAAAAATGAGGGGGAAACTGAGGTGTGGGGGTTTCACCCCTCTCAAAGCCGGGGCAGCCAGGGTTCCCTGGCACGTGTCACCGCCCCGCAAGGTTCTTGGCACCCGCAGCCTTCCGGCCTGTGTGAAGGGCTTCGGCAGCCGGCGTCAGTGGAAGCGCCACCTGCAGGGCCCGGCGACCATCCGGGCCGACACGAGCCTCTGGAGACCCCACCTGCGGTGTGGACTCTGGGCCAGGCTGTGTGCCCGGCCGGGCACCACGCAACTGCGCAGCCAGGGGCCTTCACGTGTGCAGCAGGCGCCCCGCAGGCCATGCCCTGTCCTCAGCCAGCACTGCCTGACCCCCAGGGCCCTTTACGAAATGCATGGTCTGGGCTGATGTTTGGGGATTTTTTAATTGATTTTTTTGTTTGTTTGTTTTGAGATAGGCTGTCTATGTAGTTTAGGCTGGACTCAAGCTTACAATCCTCTTGCCTCAGCCTCCCCAGCACTGAGAGGTTTTTTGTTGTTTTTTATACAATGCTGCGAATTGAACTGGAGGCCTTATTCCTGAGCTGCATCCCCAGACCATTTTACTTGGACAGTTCTTTGTTTTGTTTTGTTTGAGACGAGAGTCTTACTATGGAGCCCGGCTGAGTTCACTTGTGATCCTCCTGCCTCAGCTTCCCAAGTGCTGGGATAACAGGCATGGGTCTCCACACCCAGCTTGTTTTTTGCTGTTGTTGGGATTTGTTTTGTTTTTTGCTTTTTGAGACAGGGTCTCACTATGCAGTGCTGGCTGGCCTTGAGCTCACTTTGTAGCCCAGGCTGGTCTCAAAATTTGCAATGATGAGCCTGCCTCAGCCTCCCCAGTGCTGGGATTACAGGCATGCGCTACCACGCCCGGCTTCTTTTTATTTTTTAAGACAGGGTCTAAATGGCTAAGTTGCCGGGCTGGGCTCAGCTTTGATCCTTCTGCCTCCTGCCTCCGCCTCCCAGAGTACTAGGATTACAGGCCTACACCCCTCCGCCCGGCTTACTGCGTCACCAATGCTGTTCCCTTCGCCTGCCCTGCCCGGCCTCTCCCTCTCTCCAGGGTGGGTTTCCCTGGCCCTGACCTCGTCCAACTCCACATTCGTCCCATCTTCTTGGAACAACCTGGGCCACCACCTGCAGAACCGCAGCTGCGGCCGGAGGAGGTGGAAGGGGCCAAGGGACACTGGGCCCGTGACGCCCGAACCCTTCTCACGCTGCGCATGCGTCCCCCGCCTGCTCGGCGCCGTGTCGGGTGTCAGTGTGGGCAGGAGGACAGGACGGAGCCTGGGCGGTCCTGAGCCCAGGTCGGTGTCCGGCACCGGCTGCCTTTGTGTGTTTATTGAAGGAATGAACACCCCATTTTTCTCTTCCAGCTACACTCAGCTCTCCAACTGTACCCTTTCTCTGGGAATGATGATGGAATAAAGTTTTGTTACTTCTTGTTTTTGTTTGTCTCACTGTGTAGCCCAGGTGGACCTCACAGTGCTCCTCCTGCCTCAGCCTCCCAAGTGTGGGGATTACAGGTGTGCATCAGCGGGCGGGCTCTGTCCAGCACCGGCACACATGGGGGCCTGGCCCCAATCCCCAGCAGCCACCCCCTCCAACACACACACACACAGTAACCTCAGTAAAGGAACCCAACGGGACACTTTCCCACCCAGGTGATCACACAAGCACACAGGCATCAGTGAAATGAGAGGGAGTGACCCTTGACTTCGGTCCTTTTCCTCCCAGAAACCCATAATCTCAGTCTAATCTTAAGGAAAACACCCGACAAAGTCCCACAGAAGGGAATGCCACACAAGACCCAAGCAGCGCTCTTCAAAACTACTGAGGGCGTCAAAAACGGGGGAAAATCTTCAAAACCGTAGTCAAGGATGCCCTGGGAGAAACGACCACTAAGTGTAGCTCACACTCGAATTCCGGGTGGGACCCTCGGCCAGAAAAACGACTGCACAAAAGTGAGCCGGATGCGGTGGTGCGGGTCTGCAGTCCCAGTATTTGGAGGCTGAGGCAGGAAGATCACGAGCTTGAAACTAGACCGAGCCACATAGGCAGACCCAGTCTCAAAAAAAACACCCTGCAGAAATCTTAATACAGCCAGGGATATAGCTCAGCGGCATAAGCGCTTGCCTGGCAAGCCTGAGGTCATGAGTTCCACTCCCAGTACCAAAAAAAAAAAAACCTGAATACAGTGTAGACTTCGGGCAGTAAATGGTCAGTGCGGGCTCATCCACTGTAACAGGAGCACCAGCCCGAGGTAAGACATTAATACCTGCATGAGTGATGTGGGAATGCTACTCCCCCCTGATGTTTCTGTAACCTAAAGCCAGTCTTGAAAATAAAGTGTACTTCTTAAAAATAGCGTTTTTTGTTTGTTTTTTGAAACAAGGTCTCTATATGTAGCTCGGGCTGGAACTGAACCCACCATGTACCCCCGGCTGGCCTTAAAAAGTTTAAAAAAAAAAAAAAAAAAAAAAAGGTGCGGGAAGCCACCAGGTAAACAGCCTTAACCAACCCGGAAGCGGCACTGCCCAGCAGCAGCCCTCTGTCGCCCCCCTGTGGCCACCTTGGGCCCGGCGCGGTCCCGGTGAGGTTTAGCGTAGGGGGCAGCAGGCTAAAGCCTGACCCTGCCCGCAAAGAGCAGAATCTGACCAGAGGGGCGGGCCACGGACAGGCAGCCTGGAGAAAAGAACCGTGCCTGCACTCGCCCACTGCGGCAGGGACAGACCCAGACACCCAGAGGGGACCAGGGCTGGGGTGCACGGGAGCAGAGGGAGCAGAGAGCAACCCTTTTTCCTCTTTGGCAAACTCGGTCTCCCCCACGAGCCTCCTCCAAAGCCCCACAGAAAGGTGTTCAGGCTCCAATTCATTCTGAAGATCGCTGACTTATGAATCATAAATCTGGCGTGTGGCCCTCGCCTGTAATCCCCACACTTGGGAGGCTGAGGCAGGAGGATCCCCATGAGTGTGGAGCTGGCCTGAAGTGCATCGTGAGTCCCCATCTTTAAAAAAAGAAAAAAAAAAACCTGTGACCTGTACAAAGGAAGCTCCTGTTCCCTCTGCAGAATTCAGAAATGCTATCAAGGGTCTACTTAGCAACGGAGACCGGGAACCAAGAGGCTACAGGCGTGGGGAGTGGACACTCGACACAGGTCCTGAACTCATCCAGTGTTTATTATGTGAACCATTTCTTCACTGTGAGCCTCTGCCTGTTGCTGGAGGCGCTGTCCCCACCCTGACCCTCAGCTCCCTGGAGGGGAGCATGGGGCCAATTCAGACGGGGCCCAAGGCATGGGGGGCAGGGCAGGGGATGGGGACGGGGATGGGGCAGTGTGCCGGGGCAGATCCCGGAAGACACACATCCCACAGAGGCAGAGACGGGCGTCGACCTCCACCCCACCCGGCGGCCGCAAGAGCATCGGGGAAAGACCAGGCATCCGGAGACATTTCGGTCCTGCCCGTCATGAAGCGTTGGCCAGGCGCGGCGGGGTCACGGTCCTCAGCTGGGGAGAGAGAAGGGAGTGAGGGGACCGTGGGCGTGAGCAGAGGGCAGGGTGGGGCCGTGTCAAAAAGGAGAAGTAGCAGCTGGGGTGGTGCACACCTATAATCCCAACACTTTTTTTGGGAGGCTGAGGCAGGAGGATCACAAGTGAACTCAGCTGGGGAAACTTAGCCACTTAGCAAGACCCTGCATCCAACCCAGAAGGGCTGGGGACGTCACACAGCTCAGCCTCCAGCACAGAACAAAAAAAGATGTGCAGGGAGCAGCAGACAGGGAAACGCAGGCCCAGAAACTGGGCTGCAAGGCAAGGCAGGCCAAGATCTGGCTCCCAGGTCACCAGAGCCTGAGCGAGCTCTCAGGAGAGGAGGGGCCTGGCCAGCGCTGCGGCAGGGCCCAGGGAGACCCACCGCACGGCTCCCCGCCTTCAGGCCCTCGGGGACCTGGGGGCTGCCTGGGATGTCCCCCTGGGTCTGGGTGTCCTGAGCACTCCAGCCACACCAGCAGCCTGCACCGTCAGGGGCGGGATAGGGCAGCCACAGGGGCGGTCAGCTGTCCTCATGGCCAAGCCCCAAGCAGCGGACACCCAGCTCCACAGCTGCCGCACGGCGCTCCTGCCGCCCTTGCCCTCACTGGCACCGCCCCCATGCCCACGTGACAGGCTAACCTGAGCAGACAGCCTGGCAGTGCCCAGTCCCACTAGCCAATTGCTCCCAAACCCGGGACACCCAGAAAGTGCAGCCACAAAGCAGGCCACCGGGGGGCGTGGCGGCAGCTCGGTGGCAGAGGTAAAAAAGCAAGCCCAACAATTGTAGGAAAACGCACCTTTGTTGGTTTGGTTTTTGGTTTTTGGTTTTTTTTTTGAGACAGGGCTGCCCTATAGTCCAGGCTGGCCTCAAACCCTCAGTGAGCCTCCTGGCTAAGCCTCGTGCTGGGATCACAGGTGTGTGTCGCCGCCATGCCTGGCACAAGACCCTTCCTTGAAACAAGGGGTAGGGGTGGCTCAGTACAAAGGCTCTCAGTTTGTCAGGCATGGTGGTCTAACCCCAGCACTGGGAGGCTGAGGCAGGAGGATTGCTACAAGTTCAAGGCCAGCCTAGGCTACACAGCAAGTTCAAGGGCAGCCTGAACTATACAGCGAGACCTTGATTCCAAAAAACAAAAAGAGGCCCTGGGTTCAATCCCCAGTGCCACAAAAAGGAATAAAAAACTAGGAAATAGAATTTGAGCTCGAAGCACTGGAAACTAATGTTCTGGTACAAAGCATGCTGGGAACAGCAGTGCCCAGTATGTGGACTGGGACATTTGATTCTAGACCAAGGCCAAGGGCTGCAGACCATCCAGAGATCTAAGAAATGGCAGGAAGCGGCTCTAGAATCTGGGGAGTCAGAGCGCAGAACCCAGGACCTGGCTGGTACGTACGCCCTTTCCGGACTTGGGGCTCACAGGGAACAAAGGCAGCCAAACACAACCGAACTCAGGGGGCCCTGGAAGGCACCGTTAGTCCGAGTGACCCAGAAGTGGATGCTTCTGCACTCAAACTTAAACCTGGCAAAGGGGCTGGGGATTTAGCTCAGTGGCACAGCGCCGGCCTGGCAAGCACAAGGTCGTGAGTTCGATTCCTGGTACCGGAAAAAAGCCAAAAAAAAAAAAAGAAAGAAATTAAACCTGGCAGAGAGGATGTGGAACAGCGGCAGTGCTGGCGAGCACATCCAGGCCAGCACCGCCCCTCACTGTCTGGGGAGAGGGCCTGGGACTGGGCCGTGCTGGGAGCTGCTCCTGAGATTGACTCAGGACCACAGGCCGGAGCTCGGAGCCTGCTCTGGGGTGGTCTAGGCTCAGCCGCGGCTGCAGGGCACCCTGCAGGTCCTGCAGCTTGTGGGTCAGCCTGGGGCATCCCTGCAAGGATGGGCCCCGGAGGGTGATGAGTGACTGCACAAGGTCAGGCACAGGAGGTCCAGCTCCAACACGCAGGGAGCTCTGACTGACCCTCAGCTCCACGGCCTGGGAACCGTTTCCCGGCACAGGGACAAAGCCTTTGCAGCGTCTCCTTCCCCAGCAGGAGGCTGTCAGGGCAGCCCTCGGACCGCCGCACCAGCCGCCTACACCCTCACCTCTGCCTTCAGGGCGCGCTAGCGCCGAGCCAAGGCGGCTTTGATGGCAGCCACCAGCTTCCGAAACTTGCTGTCCGTGTCCACGAAGCCATCGCCTCCCTGGAAGGGGAAAGACAGGGAGAGGTGGGCGGGGCCCCACCAGATCGCGCCGGCCCGCCCTGTCCCCACAGAGGCGACACCCGCACCTTCTTGGAGTGAATCAGCTTCCCGGCTACGGTCACTTCGAAGAAGCCGGTGGACTGGGGCGTCCCCTCACCACACTGAGGAGAGACGGGGCGGGTGGGGCGGGGGCTCCGTGCCCTCTTGGGGACACCCTCCCTCCCCCGGGTGCAGGAGGCGCCAGTGAGAGCCCCTGCTCATGTCACGGCCAGCCGAACCCACTGCCACGGAGCCCCAGGGCACAGACGAGGCCCCGCCCTCCTCGCCCTCCGCCTCGGCCCGAGACTCACGATGTCTAGGCATCCGGGGAACTCATCTTCCAGCTTCTCCTTGAGCTGGAGGTACTGAGAACCGAGCAAGGGGGTCAGCGCCCGCGCGCAACCGCCCCCCCGGGCGCACCCCACAGCCTGCCCTCGGGCGCCACCTGGCGGCCGCCCCTTACCTTGGGCTTGTAGCCTCAAGCGCCACTGGGGGTCCGGGTCCCGAGCGCAGATCCAGCAGAGCCAGGCGCGGGGGCGCGAGCACGCGGCCCGGGACAGACAGAGAAGACGGACAGAGACAGCGGCAAAAGACAGCACAGCGAAGCACGAAAACGGGAAGGGCACAGACAGACACGGAAACCAGACCCAAGCGAGGCGGGTGGAAGCACGGAAGAGGAGGCAGGAAAAGGAGGTGACACAGCAAGGACGGAGAGACAGAGGCGCCCACAGGGGCGCGGGAAGGCGAGGGAACTGGGTTAGGGACGAGCTGCGTAAGTCACAGCCCTCCCTCTCCCCGCCTGTCACTCCTGAGACCGGAAAGGTCAGACAGCTGGGACAGCCCTGAGCCCCTGGGCGTCCCGCAGACCCAGCTCTGGACGCCGTCACCTGCGGTCTGGCCGGAAAGCTACTTTTTGCTTGCTTTTGAGGTGGGGTCTTGAAATGCAGCCCAGGCGGGGGGCACTGAACCCCTGATCTGGGAGGGCCCGGATTGCAGGCGTCAAATTGTTGACCTGACCCTGCCTCACTCCTGCCTCAGTCTCCTCACCTGTAAGGCGGACAACTCTCCTCCCACCAGGAGGAGAACTTCAGTGAACGGGTATTTATTAAGCGCCTACTGCATGCCAGCACACGGTCAGATGCTGGGGACACACGCTGGTTAGCGAGAAAGAGAACAACCCACGTCTGGCTAAGACCTGCCTGCTAGCGGGCGGGGGAAGAAACAAAAGATGCTGAGACGTTCAGGTACTGCCCGTGGCTGCAACAGCAGTAACTGAACTACACAACCCACTGTGCACTTAAGAGGCGGAAACTGAGGGCAGAAAAGGAGTGGGCTTCGCAGCCACGAGCACGCACTGGGTTGGAGCCCAGAATGTCATTCAAGCCTTTTCTTTTTCTGAGAGCGTCTCCCTGTGCAGTGCAGGCTGACCTTCAACTCTCTCCGTGTATATATGGCCTCGAGCTCACAGGGATCCTCCTGCCTCAGCCTCCCAGTGCTCGGAGTACAAGGCGTGTGCTGCCACGCCTGGCTTCGTGCAAGGTTTTTCTTAACATGGGCAAGGGCCAGTCACGATATTCTCCCAGCAGGCCACCGCGACAGGAGGCTGCTCGGGACGCGGGGAGCGGAGCCAAAGCGCCGGGCGCAGCGCCCTTCGCCCGAACCTTCCGCAGCCTGCGGCCAACGGCCCCGGGCGCCGCGCGTGCCTGGCGCCCACCCACCCAGGAATCCCCTCTGTCCGGAGGGGCCCCGAGATCCTGCCCCCGAGGCCCCAACCCCCACCACGGCCGGAGAACAGCGTCGGCGGGACGGGCTGGGGGAGCGGGTCTGGAGCAGCGGGCTGAGGAGTCTTACCAATAAACAACGCGCACCGCGAGAGCCATGACGGCGAGCAGCACCACCAGGAACCGAGCAGAGACCGCCAGCTGCGACGCGATGTGTGCACCGGGCATGCGCGACCCCGGACCGCCGACCGCGGCGCGAACCAATGCCAGGGGGGGCCGGGCGGGGACGGTGCAGGGCGCCGAGGCGGGGAAACGTGAGGCGCGACCCAACACCTCCATCGCGGGCTCCTCCGGCTGGTCCCCATGTTGGACTAGAGAGGGTCTCGGTGCAGCGAGTTCTCGGCTGAGCCCGCTGAGCGTCTCTGTCTTTCTCCCCCCTGCCTGACATGGTACGACCAAGGGGCGGAGCTTCGCCACCAACCTCTGACCCCGGCCGGGAACAGCTGCGGGGGCGGGAGGGTGCGCCAGGGCGGGGGCGCTGCGGTGCCAGTTTTCCTTCGCCCTAGAGAGAGGAGAGCGGGTTCCGAGGCGGGGATCTGGAGAGGTGCTGGCTCTGTAAGGTGCGGTGAGCCCCTAGGCCACCTGCCTCCTAACACCGGGACACCTGATGACCCGCAGACCCTGTTTGTTTTTTGAGACAGTTGACCTCGAACTCATGGCTACCCCTCCTGCCTCAGCCTCGCATGCTGGGATTATGGGCATGCCTACCAGCCCAAGCCTGGCAGACTTTCTTCCGGCACCTTCCTCCTATCCCCAAGCCGAAGGGTTGGTGCAAAATGTTGAAATTGGGCAGCGGAGTTGGGGTGTTAAGGAGTGACTCCTTTCTCTGAGGGGTCCAAACTAGCACTGCGGGTTAGGAAAGATGTCAGTATATAAGACACAGTCATTCCTTAGCTCCCAGATCCACAGCGATCCCACAGAGCACAATGACAGCTTAAGATTACACACGGTGCCCTTACTTCTTTTGATGATTTGGGGGAGGGGAGTGTTTTGATATGGTTTGTTTGGCGCTTTGTTTTGTTTTGTTTTGTTTGAGACAGAGTCTCCCAGTTCAGGCTGGGCTTGAACTCACTATGTAGCCCAGGTTGGCCTCAGACTCACGGCGATCCTCCTGCCTCAGCCTCCCAAGTGCTGGGATCACAGGCATGCGGTGGGCCACCTTCTCAGCTCTTGGCTTAATTCTTTCATCGAGGCCACAGAGAACCAAGGATCAAGAAGTAAGAGTCCTTTCTCGCTGCATCAGGGCCCCTGTCTCAAAAAATAAATCATGTAAAAAAAAAAAAAAAAAATCATGTATTGTATTTATTTATTTTTGGATTTTTTGAGGAAGAGTCTCACTATGTAGCCCAGGTTGGCCGCGAACTCACTGCCTCAGTGTCCCAAGTGCTGAGATTACAGGCGTGGGCCATCACAACCAGCAAAAAATAAATTTTTAAAATAAAGGTTTTGAAAAAATGAAAAATAAAATAAAGGTTTTGAATGTAACACAAGAGTATTCTCCAAATGGCCACCAGAGGGCTGAAGTTCCCATTGTGGCTGCTCCGGAAAGGTTAGGCCAGGAGGTGGGTTGTGCAGAATCTGGCCCCTTACCCCTCAGATCTTACCTACCGCGGAGCCCTCCAGCCACGCTAGAATCCTCCTCAGCTTTTCATTTTGCTTTCTCTTTTTCTCCTTTTTTTTTGTCTTTTGTGTGTGTGTGTTTTTGAGACAGGGTCTCGCTATGCAGGTCAGGCTGGCCTTTAGCTCACTGTGTAGCCCAGGCTGGTCTCAAACTTGCAACGATCCTCCTGCCTCAGCCTCCCGAGTACTGAGATTACAGGCGTGCGCCACCACGTCCAGCTGTCCTTTTTAAAAATTGAGAAGCCAGATATGGAAGTGCACCCCAGTAGTCCCAGCACTCCGGACGCTGAGGCAGGAGAATCACTGTCAGTTAAATCTGGTCTGGGATACATAGGGAGACCCTGTCTCAAAAAGCCAAATAATTAATTAAAAGCAAGGTAAGATTTATATGAAAAATGAACTGTACAAGAGTGGATGATCCAGGGGTTAGTGCATTCACAGAACTTCTCTCTCTCTCTCTCTTTTTTAATGATTCCATTGTTACCACAATGCTGGGCTCATGTCTCATGGTAAGAAACAATGGGATGGCAGAGCAGGTAGGGAGCATTTATGTAAGAGACAAAGGCAGGGAGGGAGAGCTCCCCGACAGCCAGGAGGGGTCCTGAGCAGGACACCCACGGGTTCTTTTTTGTTGTTGTTTCGTTTTGTTTTTGTTTTTTTTCTGGTACTGGGAATCGAACTCACGACCTCACGCTTGCCAGGCAGGCGCTGTGCCTCTGAGCTAAATCCCGAGCCTCTACCCACAGGGTTCTGTATCTGAGCTCTAGGGGTTTTCTTGTTTTGTTTTGGGTTTTTTGAGACAGGGTCTCACTATGTCGTATACGCTGCCCCCAAACTTACAGCGATCCTCCTGCCTCAGCCTCCTAAATGCTGGGATTACAGGTGTGCGCCTCCACACCCGGCACTCTAAGGGTTCACACAGTTCCCACAGCAACCTGACCACGCTCCAGGGAGCCCCATAGCCAGGACATGGCACATGCTTCTTAAGATCCCTGCAGGACCTGCTCCTCAGCCTCAACTGAGGGCCGCTGCTGTCCACCTGAGACAATCCCAACTCCTGGGTCACTGATTCCTGTTTCTCTAACACATCATTTCTCATAGAAAATTGCAGGGATGCAGCGGGGAGGTGCTCAGTGTGTGTGTGTGTGTGTGTGGACACTGGTTAAACTGCACCTAACCCCAAGTGTCATTAGTGCTGTTGAGTGCGTTCACAGCTGTGTCCAAGCAAGGTACGGTGCTCACCTGTACCCAGGAAGCAGCCCCTTGCCCTCCCTGTCCTGCCAGGACTCCTTCCTGTCCCTGCAAGGGACACTTTCGCACCGTGGAATCCCAAACACATGACCTTTGTTTGCATCAGGCTCAGCAACGTGCCTTTGCGGTTCATCCGCGCTGAAGTCCACGTCCGCTTCAGAGTTCTGCATTCGCTGTGTCCTCAGCCAGGGTGCACGTCCGTCAGACACCGTTGTGGTTCCCACTGCGATTCCTTCAGATCTGTGCACGATGGGTCTCCCCGACACCCTATTGAAAACTGGAACCCAGGGCCAGGGCGCAGCTGAGGGGCAGAGCGCTTGTCTAGGCAGCCCCTGGGGTCTATCTAGCACCAGGAGAAACAAACCCAACCCATGAGCCAGGCGTGGTGGGGTAAGCCCAGCACCTGGGACGCTGAGGCAGGAGGATTGCCATGAATCCAAGGCCAGCCTGGGCTTCATAAGTGCGTTGCTCAAGGCCAGCCTGAACTGCATACAGAGACCCTGTCTCACAGAAAAAAAGGTACACAGAGACACTTGTACTAACAGCTACAACTGTGCCATTAATTTCACAGAACTCATATATAAAAGCTGAGGTCCCTTATCTGTGTGTTCACACGCTTTTGAAACAATTGGATTCTGTAAGGCCTTCTGTGACACAGGAAAGCAAACTATAGTGTTTGTCAGCACCAAGTGAGGTCTTATCATCTTGTCTGTGTGATAAGGCGCGTTATCTCTCTCCAGCAAGTATCACAGCTTAGAACTCAGGCATGTTGGGGGCGGAGGGGCGTCCATTGCCTTTTCCTGTCCAGATTTTTACCCTTAAAGGGAAAAGACATAGTTCAGGTTCTGAATTTTTCTGGTTTTTTGCCAGGTGTAGTGGCGCACGCCTGTAATCCCAGCACTCAGGAGGCTGAGGCAGGAGGATCACCTTCAGTTTGAGGCCAGCCTGGGCTACATATGAATTCAAAACCAGCCTGAACTTCATTGTGTGACCTTGTCTGCAAACAAATGTGGGGTTTGTGTGTGTTTGTTTTGTGGCTGCCTGCTTTTTGCAGTACTGGGGCTTGAGCCCAGGGAGCACTGAGCTACAGATCCAGTCTTTTTTATTTTATTTTGAGACAGGGTCTAAGTTGCTCAGGTTGGCTTCGAACTTGCAGACCTCTTTCCTGGGCCTCTCCGGGAGCGGCGCTTACCAGCATGAGCGGCACACTTGACTCTCACATTCTAAATTTTTCAAAGCAGGACTCACGGTCTCTTCTTTCCCTGGTGACAGAATTCTCCAAAGCCCTCAGTGTGCTGACACAGACCCTTCACCCCGCTGGTGCAGGCTTTCTAGCTTCTACCACTGATCTTTGGGCCTTGCCAGCGCAGATCCTTGATACAGGCTGCATGAGACATTGTTGTGGGCTCTAGGCCTCCAGCTGGACTCGTGCAGGACATGGCCATGGGATCCAGGCCCTCAGCTGGATTCTCTGGGTCTCTAGTACGTGGACAGGTGCACTCTTCTGTATTTGACTCTTTGGGTGAATATTATAAAATAATCCTATAAATTCTGTGTTGTGTATTAAATGTTTTCCCTTC